AAGTGTTCTTGTGAGGAAAACAGGAGGAAGAAAGCATATTAGGTATGTTTTCTACCTTGAGTTACTTATGAAGCAATAAAAGCTGGGAAAAAATCTAATAAAAGAAACCTGCAGTACTAAGCGAAGTCATAGCATCACTCACTGCCCTCTTAAGCAAGTATAAGAAGGGGCTGAGAGTTAAGAAATTGCAAAACTTTTTGCTGGCAGAAGAAGGAATTGATCTTGAGAAGTTCAGCATTGTCCAGGGCCACAAAGATACAGCGGGATTTTGGGAGCAAAAGACGCCTAAATTGAAGTTGAACTACCAAACAGGCTTTATAGTGTTGTTGAATTTGACTCAGATAATGCCTCCCCTGGGTAGACCCATCACTCCTGGTGATGGTTATTGGCATCCATAATGTGTGTGTGTGTGGGAGGTGAATCTTGCATGTACAACACAACTAGAGTATTTAGATTTGAATTGGACTACAAAAAGAAAAAAGTTTGGTCTAGAAAAAGTCCTGGGCTACAGTCTAAGCCAGGGGGAGGCAACCTTGGCTCTTTTATGACTCGTGGACTTCAACTCCCAGAATTCCTGAGCCAGCATAGCTGGCTCAGGAATTCTGGGAGTTGAAGTCCACGAGTCATAAAAGAACCAAGGTTGCCTACCCCTGGTCTAAACTGTAATCCTCCTTCAAGTATGGAAAGTGACCAGTCACTTTATCTGAATCTAAGCTAACTCACAGTGTTGTCAGGAAGCAAATAGGTAACATTATATGGATCACCTTGAGTTGTTAAAAATAAAAGCCAGGTATAAATTAGTACCGCTTTATAAAACCCTGGTAAGACCACACCTGGAATACTGCAACCAATGTTGGTCACCATATTACAAAAAAGATGTTGAGAGTTTGGAAAAAATTCAGAGAAGAGCAACTAAGATGATCAAAGGCCTGGAGACCAAAACATACGAAGAACGGCTGCGGGACTTGGGTTTGGCTAGTCTAAAGAAAAGAAGAAACAGGGGTGACATGATAGCAGTGTTCCAGTATTTGAGGGGCTGCCACAAAGAAGAGGGGGTCACTTTATTCTCCAAAGCACCAGAGGGAAGGACGAGAAACAATGGTTGGAAACTGATCAAAGAGAGAAGCAACCTGGAATTAAGGAGAAACTTCCTAACAGTGAGGACAATTAACCAGTGGAACAGCTTGCCTCCAGAAATTGTGGGTGCTCCATCACTGGAGGTTTTTAAGAAGAGACTGGACAGTCACTTGTCTGAAATGGTATAGGTTCTCCTGCTTGAGCAGGGGGCTGGACTAGAAGACCTCCAAGGTCCCTTCCAGTTCTATTCTATTCTATTCTATTCTATTCTATTCTATTCTATTCTAAATCTCAACTCCCTTGAATTTCAAAATCTCCCTTATGGATGAATTAGAGTTAGTAGTTGCAACCATCCCCATGGCTGGTAGTCTACACTCTGCAAAAGCTGTTAAGATAAACATTCACCAGATTTTAAAGTGTGGCCAGACTTTTTTTTATAGTTTTCAATAATAGGGTGAACACTCTTCCTTCATAATTTACTAATGTCCTTGTTAAGAATTGTTGCTCTGCTGCCCTCTGCCGATTGATTACAACAGAGAACAATCACACACCCCATTAAACCGAGTTAAACATGAAATATTCTGTTAATGTAGCCCGTACCAATAAAGTAGACTTCCACGCAAATCTGTAGAGTCTGTTCATTTCATTTTGCAGGATTTCTTCTTCTTCTTCTTTGCCATGTATATGTATATATTTGAACTAGATTGTGACGTTTCTCTGTGTCATATAGGTGTGTGTGTGTGTATGTGGGTATATGCATAATGTTTGAGGTTTTTTTTGAGACCATCTTCCGACGCTCGTTTTTCTGGCTTTCAAAAAGGACCATCTCTGAGCTAGAAGAGCAGCTGGAATATGAGCAGATGCGACGGGAGAAGTTGGAAGCACAGCTGGACGAGGCCCGAGCAGAAATAGGAAAATTCAAAGAACTACAAGAAAACAACGCGATGTCTCCAACCCATACGCTCTCTGTGGTGAGTACCATTTTTCCCTTAGGTAAATTGTGATTCTCGGCCTCCTTGACGATTGGATACGCAGCGCATTCAGAAAGTGTTTCGACCCCCTTCCCTTTTGTCAGTTTTGTTATGCTGCTGCCTGATTCTACAGTTGTTGAAATTCACTGTCTTTTTCTCAGGGTTGACATTTCCCAAGATGACCCAAGAGATGAATGAAGTGGCATAATTTTGTCTTACATTTATAGGGGAGAGTAAACAAAAAGAACGTTAAGATATCACTGGTTTTTTCATCATCATCATTATTATTATTAGTAGTAGTAGTAGTAATAACAATAACAATAATAATAATAAAGTTGGAAGGGACCTTGGAGGTCATTGAGTCCAACGCCCTGCTCAGGCAGGAACCCTACACCATTTTGGACAAACCGCTTCTGGAGGCAGGTTGTTCCACTGGTTAATTGTTCTCACTGTCAGGAAGTTTCTCCTTACTTCTTAGTTGATTCTCTCCTTGATCAGTTTCCACCCGTTGCTTCTTGTCCTGCCTTCAGGCGCTTTGGAGAATAGCTTGACTTCCTCTTCTTTGGGGCAGCCCCTGAGATATTGGAACACTGCTATCATATCCCCCCTCGTCCTTCTCTTTGTTAAACTAGACATACCCAATTCCAGCAACTGTTCCTTATATGCTTTAGCCTCCAGTCCCCTAATCATCTTTGTTGCTCTTCTCTGCACTCTTTCTAGAGTCTCAGCATCTTTTTCACTTTGTAGTGACCAAAACTGGATGCAGTATTCCAAGTGTGGCCTTACCAAGGCCTTGTAAAGTGGTATTAATACTTACACTGATGTCCCCTTCATCTAGTGTAGGACAAGAAGGAGCAGAACTGGGGGGGCTGGGTTAAAAGAGTTATCAGCCTAGAATCCCTACGTAGCCACCAGTGAACTGAGTTCAACATCCTTCAAGTGCCATTGACCCGTATCTAATTCTAATCAGGTGCTAATAAAAGTTGAGAAGACTCCCGTACTTAGGCTTTGGACAATACATTGGTTTAATTGGATCTTCACGTGTGGACCAGATCTTTCCCATCTGATATCTGATCAGGTGGTCTCTTAGACATGGCACGGTGGGAATTAAATTCTCTCATTCATTCAGCAGTTGGATGACGAAGAATTACAATTTAGTGAACCACAACATCAGATGAACAAATACCAAAGAAGGCAATAACTTGCTTGTCTTGAAAGAGGAACCATTCTGTGTTTTAGAATGAATATTTATGCTTATTGCCAATTCCTTTCTTTTTTTACTTTCAATATACTTCTAAACTCCTTTTCTCTCACTTTATTCTGACCAGCTTTCCTTCCGAGTTCCTTTAGCTTTCTTAATTGATGGAGATTTGAACAGTTAAAATTTTACCTGCGTTTTAACCGATCTATCCTAGAATCGCAGCCCTGCTGTATGGGAAATTAATTCGATAGCTGGGAACCACTGCATATAGCTGATGTTCCTCATCACCTTCCTTAGATATTGATGAATTCCTTCCCAACATTTGGTATCGGTAGTCCCAACGCACCTAGTGTGGAATAACTACCCTTTAGGGGTTTGGGGCCAGTCAGTTCCAGTTTTCTATCTCTTTAAAAATAATAATTTTTTGTGTGGAAAAGGAGTATTAATCTGTTGGAAAGCTTTTCTAGTTGATGCTGTTGCATATATCCAGTTAGCTCATTTTGGGGGCTCTTGATAAGTTTTATTTGGACCTGGTTAGTACTCACTAACCAGAAGCGGCGAATGCGCCAACACTGGAAGTTTTTAAGAAGAAACTGGACAGCCATTTGTCCGAAATGGTATAGGGTTTCCTGCCTGAGCAGGGGATTGGACTAGATGACCTCCAAGATCCCTTCCAACTTTATCATCATTATTATTATCACTGTTGGTTAAAAACCACCAGGGAATTCCAGGATGTCAGAACTTTGCCTGGGAACTGGAGGAAACATCCCTGAACAAGGCAATAGCATAACACTTCCCTACTATTGCCAGGAAAACTATGTGGAGATACCCTTGAGGTCGAGGAAATCCTGAGGCCATCTTTACTTTTAATACTGAATATAAAGGAGACCTCTGCTGTCAAGTTATTTTTCATTCTTGTAAAATGAATTCTCGTTTCCTGGCAACATTCTTCAGGCATGGCCTTGCCATTGCCTCCTTCCTAGGGTGGAGAGTGAATGACTGGCCCGAAGCCACCAAGCTGGCTTCGTGCCTAAGGTAGGATTAAAACTCACCATCTCCCCTTTTCCACCCTGGTGCCTCAAGCACTACGCCAATCTGGCTCTCTAATATTAAACGTAAAGAACATTAAATAGACGGCTACTGCTTCCCTAGAAGTTAGAAGGCCAAATCTCTATTGGCATAGCTCCTTTTAAAAGCTCCCTTTCTATTTCATTTACTGCCAAAAGCCTAGAACAGGGGTAGGCAACCTTGGCCCTTTTATGACTCATGGACTTCAACTCCCAGAACTCCTGAGCCAGCCATGCTGAGGGGAAAGGGAGAGTTTCCAAGCTGAGCCATGCTGGCTCAGGAATTCTGGGAGTTGAAGTCCATGAGTCATGAAGGGGCCATAGTTCCCTCATGCTGGCTCAGGAATTCTGGGAGTTGAAGTCCACAAGTCATGAAGGGGCCATAGTTCCCCCATGCTGGCTCAGGGATTCTGGGAGTTGAATTCCGCGAGTCATGACGGGGCCATAGTTCCCCCATGCTGGCTCAGGAATTCTGGGAGTTGAAGTCCACGAGTCATGAAGGG